GTGAGCAGAGGTAAGCAATCTGCATGTGCTTAGTAGTGCTCAGTAGTAAGCAGAGGTAAGCAACCTTAAGTGTGCTCAGTCTTAGCTGTCTATGAGCAACCATCCGGGTAGTCTTGTCCTAGTGTCCAAGCCTAGTGCCTAGCTCTGGGCTGTGTGGTTCAGGCAACCTTCCCTTACTAGGAGGCGCTGTAACACTATCCCCTCTCTAGTTAGTCTTTGTCCTGAAGGCTAAACCTAGAGTCAAGAACTTTAGTAGAGGCGTTCCTCTATTATCTTTTCTTGTCAGTATGCCTATATATAAGGTAAGCAAATCTTCTTTTACTTATGACTATAAAGCTTTAGTTGCTTATGTCAAAGCCCTTAAGGTGGCAGCAGACATGCTATATTTCATCTATAAATCTTCTAAGGCACTTTACGTTTTTTTAAGTTATTCTCTTAAGTGCTTAAAGTGTATCTGTTTAAGTTATTAATATAATAATAATTTTTTAAACAGCGATTTTAATTATCTTAATATAAAGAAGAAAAAGTTAAAGGCAATATTATTAGTTACTAATACTTAGATCTAGTAGAAAGCAGCAAAGGCTATTTCTCTAAATAAGTATATTAAGTCTCTAAAAAAGGCTTAAAGTAAAATAATTAAGTATAATGTTTAGTCTCTTAATAAGTTAGAATGTAAAAAGGCTCTTTATATATAATAATCTAATATTATACTTAAATATATCTTTAATAAGTAGTAATTAGCTATATATTTAATCTTCTTACTTAGTCTAGGTTCTAATAATAATAATTCTTAAGTATCTTAAGGCTAAGATTTATCTCTAATTTTTGTCACGGCTGCTATGCTTGTCGGCCGCTAGCGCTAGGGCCGCCGGGTATTGATTTGCACTACGCGTTAGTAAGGGGCATGCTCGCTATATAGGAGCGACCCTAGTGCCATCCTCGTCGGCTCTGTAGTCTTAGGATAACACTCAACATGGGCTGAAGATCTCGCGCACTCGTCGCCTGCTTCCAACGTGATACGTGACAATTTTTATATATTTTCTAAGTCTATATATTCTAATTATTTAATCAGATAATAAGGTTTTCTATTAATATCTTACTTATTTAAGACTTTCTTTAGCCGTGGCCTAATGGGTGGATCCCTAGGGACCCACTCTGCAGGGGGTACCCCCTTGCGAGAGCTAGCGCGTGTAGCGCGTGGCTGCCACCGTAACGCGATTATCACCGTAACGCGTTTTTTGAAGCAGAGCTATATCCCTTGTAGATTCTTGAAGATAGCACCCCCACAACATGCCTATTTCGAATGAAGATATCGACGATTTGGTGGATAAGGCTGTACGAGAGATACTTGCTAAACGAGAGGATGGAGAGCGTTCGAACGTTGCAGCAAAAGCGCGTGAACTTGGGATTTATAAAGATCGTATTCATCAGCGACTCAAGGGCGTAGGGCCTTGTACAACTCGAAAGCCAGTTAACAGCAAGCTGTCAGCTGTATAAGAGGCCTCTCTTTTGCGATATATCTTTTATTTAGATGAAATTAGGTATTCTATATAATATAATTAAATTAGTAATATAGCAAATACTATTCTTACTAAAGATTATATTACCACTACTCCTGCGCCCTCTATAGGCTAACACTAGGCTTGATACTTTCTAAATCGATATCCTGAGCTTCATAAAGCAAAACAGAAGCCCTTAGAGCTTAAATAAAAGCTTGCTCATGATTCTAACGTAATTTTGAACTGGTTTAAGCGATTTTAAGTGCTTTAAGAGAAGTATTTAGTACAAAAGGAAGATATTTAGAATTTTGACGAAACAGGCTTCTAAATAAAGGTTAAAAAGAGTCAATAAATAGTTATTACTTTACGCAAAAAGAGGCATTATATACCTTCTAACAATATTCGTAATTATATAACTGCTATTGAAGCTATTAGCGCTAGCAGAGCAGTTATTAATGCGATGCTAATTTTGCCAGGAAAGGTTTATTTAGAGCGCTTTTATTATGAGCTTTAAGGAGAGACTTTAGTTGGCTTATTAAATACCAGATATTTAAATGATAAGCTTGCGTACGAATATATCCGACATTTTGAATGCCAAAGTCGGCGAATGCGTATAGGAGCTTACTGTATCCTCCTTTGTGACAGATACAAGAGCTATTTTACACATGAGATCCTCAAATTCTGTGAATTCAACTTAATCCACGTCTTTGCTCTTCCTCTTTATACTTCTTATATTCTTTAACCGCTTAACGTCGTTCTATTTCAGCCTTACAAGCACTAGCATGCTCAAGTTGTGGATCAAGCAACTTAAAAAGGATATAGCAAATTTAATAAACTCGAATTCCTTACTACTATTCAAAGTATTCGCTAAATAACGTTCAAAAGAAACTTCATCCTTAATAGATTTCGAGAATGCGGACTTGTTCCTTATAATCTAAATATAGTACTTAACAAGATCTAAGATTACCAAATTGTTCCTTCCCCTTCTCCTTAAGATTGATCTTTTATACCCTCTGAAGCTTAAATTTGGCCTCCTACTACGCCTTTAACAGCTTGTTCTCTTAAGAAGCATGTTATTTGCCTGCAAAACGCAACTCCGAATTATTAAATAGTTCTATAAAAGAAGTTCATCAAGAGGGCTCTAATTCAGGCTAAAACTGTCGTACAAATTCAGAAGGAGTTAAGAGAATTAACAGCAGCTGAAAAAGAACGAAGCGAACAAAGGTATAGAGGTCAATGCCAGCTATAAACTGGGGGGGTTCTTTATACAAAACAAGCTTAATATATGACTAAATAACGTGAAGAAGAAAGGGGTACACAAGAGATAAGGGCTCAAAAGCAAAAGCAAATTCTACAAAAAAAGCTAGAAGATGCGCATTAGTATATTATAAATTTGGAGTAAACCATTATAAATAGCCCTATAGAAGATATATAGGATTAATATCCTAATTCAGCGAATTTTAAGCTGTCTATCCTCTTCAAAAGTCGAATCTCTGCTTTAAAAAACGCATTATAATAATAATTGCGTTATAGTAGTAGTCATACGCTACGCGCGCTAGCTCTCGCAGGGGGGTACCCCCTGCAGAGTAGGTCCCTAGGGATCTACTTATTAGGCCACGGCTATCTTATACTCTTAGT